ATTGGATTTTATTAATTCTTATGAATGAAATTAAGTTTTAAAAATGAAAAATTGTTTTGGAAATTCACATCGTTACAGCTTACAAACACCAAAAGCAAGAGGATGATGTTTAGGAAAGAGGATGAGAGGCAAAAGTCGGCTCCAAGCTTACAAGGGATCAAGTGGCCGATTTTGCTAGCCCTAGGGGTCCTTATATACTTGAGCTTATATGGTTTCAGTCAAAACCCTAATTGGATGACTTAGGCCCTAAGTAACTTGAGAACCTTCTGGAAATAGGCCTCCTTGGACAAATTTAAGATGGACTCCTCCTTATTTTCGTCCATGCCCAAATCCATAAGGATTCTCAGCCCAATATCAACTATCACACCATTGACAGTTCTAGTCCCCTTTATTTAATTAATCTCTTTTAGCCACAGAATTAATTCTTTACTAATATTAATTAAACTATATGATTTCTCTTTTAATATATTATTCATATAATATATTAATAAATCATAATAACCTCTCTTTTTCACAAATCATCCTATCAAGTTACTTTGGTGAAGTCAACCCAAAAGGACCATACATAACCGAGTCAAGTACATACTACATACCAAATATAGTTACAGCATTAGACACAAATCCAACAGTGATATGGGTATCAAAGACCAGGATTTTCCCCTGGCAATTGTATGAAAGACCAGGATGTGGCCCCTGACATCTGTATGAAAGACCAAGATCTAGCCCCTGACAACCATATGGAAGACTGAGATTTGGCTCTCGGCAGGAAATTGTAAGACTATGGTTTGGACCACAACACTAACTTATTTACGTTTGGTATGTGGTACTTACGGAAACTCACTAAGCTTTTTCTTACAATTTATATTTATGGTTTTAGGTATTTTCGATACTAAGGGAAAGGGTCCAGCGTGATGGCATGACATTCTCCCCTCACCATTTTCCGCACTTTTAGATATTGTTTGCTCTAATGATTTGATATTGTTACTATGTAATGTTTTTTGGAACAATTTGATGTAACTCTTGTTTAAAAATGAAAATATTTATCTTGGTTTTTTGGTTGTTACATGAATACCTACTTATAATCAAAATTGTCTAATTTAAACTTATATATATATATATATATATATATATATATATATATATATATATATATATATCGGACGGTTCACTTGAGATTAAAAAAAAATTAGAGATCTCAAGATTCAACATCAATCACATATTTCTTATTTGCCGCTTTCACGCGCCAACATATCGGCAACAACGAGGTATGTCTGATCATAAATGATTATATGGTAGAGCGTATATGTTGGATTAGGTGTCTATTCCCATAACCATAATTGGTATATACTTGAATTGATAGTAGCATAGTCCTTTTGGGTGGCCTAAATCCTAACAACTAGACATGATGATTTTGGAGAAAGAGATGTTGATTTATTATTTGAGTAATAAATTAAAATAAATGATTTAGTAATATATTATGAAAATAATTTATTAATTAGGAATCATATTGTTTAATTAATAATTAATCAAAAATTAATTGGAATTAACTTTGGGATTAATTGGATTAATTAAAAGTGCAAGGACTGTTTGGTTATTTATTGAAAGTTGAAGAAAGAAGGCCCAAGGACCTCATTGGATGAGGTTGAAGAAAATCACTTGGACAAGCCCAAGAGTTTTTATCCAAGCCCCTTGAATGAGGAGAACGGGCTGCTTGGTCAACAAAATAAGGGAATTAGGGTTTCTCCCTTAAACCCTAGCTTTGGCATGACAATTATGGTGCTTGCTTCCAAAAGATAAACAATAAGGTGTTCTTTGTTATTACTACAATAAGAATCAAGGTATGTAATCCTTAACCTTAATTTGGTATTTTCAACAATAGCCTAGTATTCTTAGGGTCTCCTTTTGATGTTCATGGTTATAGATTCAATTGTGAAAACATAGATCTTTATTAGGGTTGCATTCACACTTAAGAGTTTACGTTTGTTTGTTTTGCATAAAACCCATCAGTATAATCATATATGATTATACAGTTTTATACATATATGCCTAATCATAAATGATTATACATATATGTCTGTTCACAGATTGAGTAATCATATATTATTATAACGGTTGGTGGCAGAAAATGTGGTGGTGGTAGAGCTGGTGGTGGTATACGTGACAGAGGTGGCAATGGTGGTGTCGGCTTGGTGGTAGAGGTGGTGTTAGTGGTGGTGGCGGTGGAGATTGTAGTGGTGGGGAAGGTGGAAGAGATGAAAGGAACGAACGACTCTACATAGTCATTTATGATTATAATTGATCCGCCGCGTCGGTACGCCGGAGGGCTAGAGTGGCAGATATGAATTATGTTGCTGAGGTTGAATCTCAAGATCTTTAATTTATTTTGAATCTCAACAAAACTTATATATATATATATATATATATATATATATATATATATATATATATATATATATATATATATATATATATATATATATATAACCCAACCTCAAACTTTATTCCCGATCTATTCAACTCTATAGCCACAATTATACTTATTTAAGTGGTATTCTGCGATTGTAAAGATCAAATTCCTCTGTGGAACACACGAAACCAAGATATGAACCGCATAAATGGAAATGTAAAAGTGATGTTTTAAATTCATCAAATGAGAAAATTTCTTCTAGGGTAAATTACACAAATCGTCCCTCGTGCATATGTCACAAAGCGTGTTTAGTCCTTATTTTTAAAAATTAACTCGAACAGTCCATCATTTGGTTAAAAGTTACACACCTCATCCCTCTAGACATAAAAAGATGATTGTGCCCTTAATAATTTCTTTTATAATTTTTATTTATTATTCTTAGATTAAAATAAATAAATAAATAAATATGCACCGCACCCTTCCCCTTCCCTTTCCCCAATTTCCTTCCCTTTGTCTCATTCACTCTCGACAAACACCTAAACAACTACTCTACTCTTCTTTTTTCTGGCGAGGCCAACCACATCTACTCTTTCTCTTACTTTCTTTTCCGAGTGCCGGAGAATAACATCATAATCCGGTGACTTAGCCAATCAATAGGTTCGATTTTTCGGTGAAGTAACTAGGCTACCATTGCAACCCACCAAGCTTTGTTTCTGATGCAATGACCGGGTGAGGAGGGTGTGGAGATCAGGACAGGAGAAGAATGGTTTGAGGAAATCCAGGGTTTTGTCATCAATGGCGGACCTGAAGCCACCGATGAGGCCATCGGTCTACACCTCAAGCCCTCGTTGGAGTCATCACCACCGCCGTAAACCTGCAGCTCCTCCGGTACCACCACATATCAGCGTGATCACTAACTCCTCTGGCACCACCACCTGTCACTGCAAACACATTCCCCTTCCTTTTTCCCAAAGACCATCAAAGCTACCAATTTTAATCTATCATGAGTTCACGACATCTCACTGCAATTGAAATCAGGTCCAAGACGAAACCATCAAAATAAAATCAAACCGAACCTGAAACTCAAAATCAAAATCGAAACCTTCATCGATTTCAATTTTTGGATTTAAGAATGACGAAGAAGGAGGGAACTGCCATTTTCATCGAGTTTGTCTCTTCAGCCTACTCTCTCTTTGTATCGTGCTACATATCCATCTCACTTGGCATCTATCCCGATATCGCATCAGAAACTTGTATGTGTGTGTTTTCTGTTACTCTATTATCTCCGATCACTAACAATAGTGTGAGGGTTTGGAAGTGAAGGAGGTAGATGGGCTGGGGAAACTAAGAGTATGTGTTAAAGAAGAATGAGAGAGAGAGAGAGAGAGAGAGAGAGAGAGAGAGAGATCGAAGGTGGTTATGGACTTGTTGTATTTTGCAGCGTAACTGTGAGAGATAGAGTTTAGAGAGAGTTGTTTTTTTGAAGTTATAAATAATAATTAATAATATTAGATCAATTAATAAATAAATATTCAAGGGCATCTTAGTTATTTCAAATGGGGCGTGGACTACATTTGCAACAAAAACACATTTAAGGGACGAAACGTGCAGGTTTTAAGCAAACGAGGGATGATCCGAATTAATTTTTGAAAATAAAAACTAAACACATTTTCTGATATGTGCACAATAGACTATTGGTGTAATTTACCCTTTTTTTTTTTTCTGTATTCATCTACAAAAGTATATCAGATTTGCCCATACAATAAAAACAAATTAAAATTTTGGTCGATTGAATCCCAAAAATGTAATAATTTTAAAGTGTCTTATTTTTCTTAGGCTAAATACAATGTACAAATACAACCTGTACTATGCATAATATGATGATGCCAATGAAAATTTTTTAAATTTGTAAAAGTTCTACATGATAAGAAAAGTTAAAAAAAAAAAAATAGTCATTTAAATCGAAATATGGATGTATCTTAAAAATAGATTAAGATGTCTTGATTTTGAATTCATTGAACGAGTTGCTCTTAAAAGTTAGAAAACAAAAAAATATATAACCATCCTGATTCCTTTCATAATGAGGAAAGAATAAAAATAATTAAAAACCTGATTAATGACATAGGATCCGAATTGAAAATTGGAATATGATTTTTAAAGGTAAAGTTCAAAATGGTCCAACCCATTTAATAACAGGCCGTTTATTATGTCTAAACTATTTGACCGTTACACCCACCTCTCAAAAAGTTCAAATTACAAACCCTTTTCCTTTCCCACACTCCTACTTCGCTTTCGCCGTAAACTCTCCAAACGATCACAAGTCAAATTGGTCTTCAGCTTCGAATCAAAACATTGCAGATTTTGGAGTACTCCCTTCCCACCTCTTAGATCTTTACCCTTTCTTGTATTCGAGAACTAGGGCATTCATTTTCACCGATCCAGGTATTAGGTTTTTTGGGGCATTATCAGTGACAAAGATTCGATCATTTCTGCGATTTCTTCGAGTCTTGAGCTTTCATTGCGTGGGTGTTGTCGAAATCTACAAGGGTATGTCTTGGAAGTAAGTAATTTCAGTTGATTTTAGGAAAAAAAAATGCCGGTGTCGACTAGGTCTCACATGAATGTGATTCAAGATCGGAATGAGGAAGAGAACACCTATTTGCAGAATCATCAGCAATTGAGGAATCCACATCACGGTCTGAAAGAAAAGATGAAAGCTTTGACCCAGTTGTACGAACAGCAAAAACAATCATCAATTGCTTTCAGAAACCCTTCTCCTAAACCAGACGCAAATTTATTTTCAACACATCCAAGTGTGGATCTTCTAGCCGGAGCTGGATCTTGCAGAAAAGAATCAGAAATTCAGAAGAAATCACGAACAGGAGAGACTCATGTGATGAGGGAGAATTCTATGCCTATTTCTTCTACATTCACCAAGACTTACGTCTTACCACAGCCACCATCTTCCATGGACGAGGATGCCAAGGAGAACATAGCTGTGGCCGTTGGTGGTGGTGGTGGTGGTGGCGGCGGTGGTAATGGTGAGAAGATTGTTGGATTTACCTGCCCCCCAAGAAGAGGGACGATGTCTACAACAGTGGCAAGAAAGTTATCCATGGGGACTTCTCATGTGGCTCAAGACCCAAAAGGCAAAGTCTCCAGTAGCTGTGCCACCACCGGTGCTGTTGGTAATGGTGGTGGAGGAGAAGGGGCTGCTGTAACAGAATCAGAAGGTGTCACTGTAAAACTAGCCAACATAGGTAGCAGGATTCTTGTTTTCGTAAGAGTAAGACCATTGAGCAAGAAAGAAAAGGAAGCTGGATCAAGATCTTGTGTACGCATTGTGAATCAAAAAGAAGTTTACTTGACAGAATTTGCAAATGAGAATGATTATCTAAGGCTTAAAAGACTTCGTGGTCGCCATTTCACCTTCGATGCCTCATTCCCAGATTCATCTTCCCAACATGAAGTTTATTCCACTTCGTAAGTATTTAAACTCCCTTTCTTTATCATAAACCATATCAATTTTATACTTTAGAACCAGATCATACCATCTCAAAACTTATCCAACATTACAACATCCTTCTTTTATGATTGAAATGAGGTCTAAATTCGACTTTTTTTTTTCTTCCCGAATTTGACAGAACATCAGAGCTTGTTGAAGCAGTTTTGCAAGGAAGAAATGGTTCAGTTTTCTGCTATGGTGCAACGGGTGCTGGTAAAACATTCACAATGTTAGGCACAGCTGAAAATCCAGGTGTAATGGTTTTGGCCATAAAAGATCTTTTTTATAAAGTTAGACAAAGGAGTTGCGATGGAAACCATGTTGTTCATTTGTCATATTTGGAGGTTTATAATGAAACTGTGAGAGATTTGCTTTCCCCTGGACGCCCTTTGGTTCTTAGAGAAGATAAACAGGTCAGCATTTCCTTATGAGTTATATACAAGAAATATCATCCTTCTTCATCAAGATACAAAAGATTACGCTATTTTTGTTTCGTTCTTCATTTTATTAGTCACAATTTGGTTGAAAATCTGAAGTTTGTTTCAGGGGATCATGGCAGCAGGACTCACTCAGTATCGAGCTTATTCTACTGACGAGGTGCTTTTTCTATTGTCTACAAAAATTCTTTCAATAATTACGAATTTTGATTTTTTTTTTTTTTTAAATTATGTTTATAGGTGATGGTGTTGCTTCAACAAGGAAACCGTAATCGGACTACAGAACCAACTCGAGCCAATGAAACATCTTCTCGTTCTCATGCGATTCTTCAGGTACATTTCGTAGTGGTTGACTTTGAATTTTGAGTTCAACTTTCATTTAGTAGAAACTTATAGATTTTGTATTGGATCAGGTAATGGTTGAATATCGAGTGAAAGATGAATCAAAGAATGTTGTAAACAGAGTGGGGAAGTTGTCACTTATTGACTTAGCAGGGTCAGAGAGGGCTCTAGCAACGGATCAAAGAACACTAAGATCACTTGAGGGTGCGAATATAAACAGATCATTACTTGCTCTTAGTAGTTGCATTAATGCTCTTGTTGAAGGAAAGAAGCATGTTCCTTATAGGAACTCAAAGCTCACTCAATTGCTTAAAGACTCTCTTGGTGGTGCTTGTAATACGATCATGATTGCAAATATTAGCCCTAGTAATCTTTCGTTTGGTGAAACTCAGAATACTCTCCATTGGGCTGATAGAGCTAAGGAGATTCGTACTAAGGTTTGTTCCCAAATTCCTGGAATGGAATCGTTCATTCCATGACATCCAATGAGTTGTTTGTTAACTTTGTTATGGTATTGATTTCCAGGCATACGAAGCGAATGAAGAAACTACCCAAATACCTAATTCAGAAACAGATCAGGCAAAACTCCTCCTGGAATTACAAAAGGATAATCGCGATTTAAGAGCACAATTAGCAAAACAGCAACAAAAGCTCTTAATGGTTCAAGCACAATCGTTAGCAGCTGCATCTCCTACGCCTTCCACAATATCATCGATCTTAACAACGCCTCCGACTTCTTGTAGACAAAAACAACGAAGAACAACAAGACCATCGTTCTTAACCACCAACTGTTTCACACCAGAATCAAAGAAAAAAGCAGCAGCCCCCCAAGAAAACGTTCAAGAACTTAAACAAACTATCAAAATGTTAGAGGCGGCTATGGAGAAGATGAAGAAAGATTACGGGTTGCAGATAAAGCAAAAAGACGATTTGATTCGTGAGATTTCACAGAAGGTTAGAAACAGAGTCGCGCCTAAAGAGGCGGCGGCGGCGGTGATGGGGGAACTGAAGAGCCCTAGTGGTCGGTTTTGTTCTCCGGCGACAAGAGATAAAAAACGAAGCTTTTGGGATATAACAACGGCTAATAGTCCATCGGTTGTTACGTTAAATGGGAGGAAAACTCGGAGTCATATTGTTAAAGAGCCTGTTGCTGCTCCTCCTGCTCCCTCCATGCTTCTTCAGGTACGATAATATTGTTAAAATTGATTATTTTGAAATTTGTATTTTTTATATATAAGGGTAAAATGGTCATTTACTTTTATCCAAAAGTGATATAGACCTTCTTACAAGGCAAGCAACGTTTTATAGAGAAGGACATGAACCCATTCAACTATATGACTTAATGGAAGAAACAACCCCTTGTATATATATGACTACAATCTGTATTTATTTTTATGTGACTAATGTAGTTTGCATAATTGTTTTGTGGTTTAAATTTCTTCAGCCAGGTTTTGCTCGTAAGAAACCCGAATCTTTTAGGCTGTGAAAGAAATATAGAAGTCGAGCTCGAACAAGAACATAGAGAATTGCTTAGTTAGAGAGATTGGAAACTGAATTGTTGATGATTTATGTCGAATAAAGGTCTCTTGGATTATATAGGTTAACTGAATTGTTGATGTTTGGTAGCTTTTTTTTTTTTTTTTTTTTTTTTCAATTAAATATTGAGTGTATGCTCCTCGTGTATATTTATAAGTTATAACATCTCTGGATGTCTTTACACTTTTTTTCTTGGGAAAAATACAGAAAAGCCCTTATATGCACAAAAACCTTTATATTATTTTTATATTCAGAAAAACCCTTATATTAATAGTTTTCATTCGAAAAAAACCAAAACATGGGGTTTTAAGAGAAATTGATAACTAAAAATCTAATATTGCTTACATTTTTGTTTATCAATACGACACTGATTTTAATTAGGATAAAAACAATTAGTTAAGGAGGAAAAAATCAACCATATAGAGAATACAATCGAGTAAAAGCAATTGAAATGTATTTCGGTTTGATATGTTTTTGCATACAATTGAAGAAGTATATCATATCATATTTTTAGTTGATCGTTTCTCTTCAAAATTTACAATTTTATTTTATTTGAAATGTAAATAATAACATAAGGTTTTTTCTAAACATAAAAAATAATATAAGGGTTTTTCTGAATATACATGTATAATTGGTTGGACTTTTCTATATTTTTCCCATTCTTTCTTTATCTAAAAATAGTAAAAGAAAAATATTTGAATGGACTTAACTATCAAGTTCCATTTTTTGAGCTGGACAAATATATGTTTTTTTTTTTTTGGGAGTTTAGTCACAATCAAAACCACATCGGTATTCCTATATCCCGGATGTAGATAGAATAATTTAGGAGTATTTATAGTATATTTTTCGTTTAAAAAAAACACATCCAATATGATCACAAATCCAACCAAAGTCCTATATTTATTAAATTTGTACAATAGTTTTTTGTCTATATTTGATTAATCTATGAACATGGATAAAAAGTTAATAAATATCGACATAAGATAAACGGGCAACAAACTGGATTGCAAAATTAAGTTTAGTTTTTGAGTTTAACCAGATAAAAGTAAAAAAGATAAAAGAAAGTAAGAAGAGAAAAGAAAAAAATTTGTGTTCTGAGCTGGAGAGAAGTGGTAGGAAATTAATCATTTTACTATTTCTTTCCAAATCCTTCCAAATCGAAAGGAAAGTTAGGAGGGAAAGTGATATTTTCATTTCCCTCTGCTTCCTTTCACATCTTTTCCTTTAATGAAACTCGAGAACACTAATTATTATTTTTTTTTTTCTTATTTTCATTCATTTTTTTTCTTTTATCTCGTTAAGTTAAACTCAGGAACGGGGTGTAATTCTTTTGAAAACATTTATGGATCTAAAAGATATAATATTAGTATTCATGACTCATTAGACTCTGTTGAGGAGCTCCACCATCTCTGGTACGAGAAACCCAATACAATCTAAATTATCCCTTGTGAATCTTTTCATCCCTCTTATTGTGAAAAATACATTTCATTTATTCACTCCAATATGTTTTAATTACTATAAATTGTGTTTTATATATTTCGGTAATCAAGCTATTGTAGTAACATATATTTTTGTCATTTGAGATTATTTGACTTGATTTTGCATAATGAAATTGGTTTGAAAGTTAAATGACCTCTTTTTATTAGCTTGTTTATGTAGATTAGGCCCACATAGTATTTACTTTGTCTTATAGGGTCGAGCCCAAGTTTCTACTATGTATTCATTATTGGAACAAGAATGGGTGTTTATTATTGGAACAAGAATAAGTATCAGGTATACCGAAAAAATACGTATGATTTCAAGGTATAACTATAATTGATTCTTTCTAAATTCATGCTTCCTCGCAACGCCAACACCTATTTCTTGGAAAATTAAGAATCAATCTGTTGTTTTTCTTTCTTCTATGAAAACTGAATATCACTCGATGACATTTACTAAACTTTTGTATTGAGAAATTTCATGAAATAATCAAATCTGGTTTTCACCTTTTAACCATAAAAACTCAAATTTTGTAAAATGATCACAAGATCTGCAGAGAGTGCTTTGCAGATTCGTTTAACCTTCTGAGGATCGTTGTATTGCTCCGCGGAAATGAGGTGGTAGCACTGAAAGACAATTTTTTTGGGGGGTTTCAAGGTTTCGCGAAGGCGTCTCTGCGGATCATACGTTGTCTTTACGGATCGCTTTATTGATATGAGGAATGGGTATTTGTAGTCGTTTATGAGGAATCGGTACCCGTCTGATCATGTGTACAGCTCTGCACAAATAGTTATTTCTCAGCGGAAATGGTAGGTGTAATCGTTTTTAAGCAATAATTGGAGATTATATACGTTTTTTTTCAAGTTATTATCGTTTTTTATGACTTTAGTGACCTGGAACGATTTTTTTTTTTTCATTTTTATGAACGCTTTAATTAGTAGAAGTCGTTTTTTTGTTGTCTTTGTGGAGAGTGTTTTGTAAAAATGAGTTTTATTATTCTGTATAAGAGAGGATTGTGGCATCGGTTAATGGAAATGAGGTTTACGTAAGAAATAATGTGAAAAACTATGGTTTAAATCTTCCCCCTAACTTTGACCACCATATGTTATTACAAATGGTTAGAAATAAGGTTGGTGTGCTTAATAGTCATATATGTTTGTCTTGTATGCCATGCAGCTTGTAGATGAATCAGATGTAGTTCACCTGAGATATGTAATGTCTGAAATAAAGCAAAAAGTACATTTGTATTCATCGGTGGTAGACTGGTAGGTGAAGAAGTTGTAGAACAGCAACCGATAATGAAAAACCAGTTTACTTGTAACACTCTAAAATTTCAACAAAAAATTTCATTTTAAAAACACATAAAACTCATGTCATATTTCTCAGAAAACCACAATTGTCTCAAATGTCAAACACAATGCATAAAATAAATAATAGTATCCCATAATCCTTAAGCATAGTCTCGAACAGATGTGTACAATCAAGCCTATGTCTTCCTGCGATCATGAGAGGTACCTGAAGCACATAACACACAACACTGTAAACACGAAGCTTAGTGAGTTCCCCAAAATACCACATACACAAATAATAAGCCTCTCATGGCTATTACTCGGCATGGACCCTCCGGCCTCATGCGTCTCGATGGAGACCCTCCAGTCTCACTGCTCAGTGTGGACCCTTCGGTCATGTATCTCAGTAAAGACCCTCTGGTCTCAAAGCTCGTGTTGGACCCTCCAGTCCTATGTCTCAGTGAAAACCCTCCAGTCTCACAACTTGGTTTGGATCCTCCGATCCAGTCTTAGTAAAACACAGAATAACATAGCATATATCACAAAGACAAAAATGCATAATATCACTTAACTCAATATAAGCACATAGGACCCTCCGGTCGATAACTCAAATAATACCCTCCGGTAACTCGGTATTACCACTCAGGTAAGTATAGTGAGAAGACTCTCCTTGGAAGTAAGCGATTAGATCTAGCACCCCACGAACAATCTAGACTCCGCCTACATAATATAATTATCTCTAATAAGCAAACTGTAATAACCACTTTATATGATAAGCTAACTCCTCCACTAAATATCAAAGAATGAAAATACCATTTTACCCCTCCATGGTCTTTAAGGTCCACAGTTGACCTAACCCTAAAAGTCAACAAAAGTTAACGCTCCAATCAACAGTCTATGTTGACTAAACTCGTCGAGTGCACCAATGCAACTCGTCAAGTTCCTTCGTTTTGTCTGGAATATCGGGAAAATCCATCTCAACTTATGGAGTTGTCTCATCAACTCACCGAGTTGTAGAGCATACAGTCCATCCGGGAAAAACCTTAGCTGACTCGTTAAGTTGGCTCATGCACTCGCCGAGTCCCCCTAACCAACTTCTTATTCAGATGATTCTAAGCAGAATTAAGGTCCCAAACTTTAGATCTAGCCTCCCAAGGCTGAAATACCACATAAAGCTGCAAGCTTTACGTTCATGCATGACACCTAGGGCTCGAAATGCCAACATAAGCCCTATATAGGGTTAGATGCATAAAAGCTTGCCTTAGCTTAATAAAGCTTGAATCTTTGGGCTTAGAAGACCTCCTACAGTCTAGATCTGAGGTTTCAATCTCATGGCATGCTCAAGTGAATCAATAACCAATAGATGGATGAGAGAAAACCCTAAAACTCCCTAGAATGAAATCTAACAAAAGAAATGGTCAAGATGGCAGCTTTTTACATCTAAACAGAAGCTAATCACTAAAGAACACTGGATCCAACAATCTCTACTCGATCCAATCTGTGTTTCTCTCCAAATCTCCTTCCAAAAATACACAAGAACACTCAAATTAGTTTCTCTATCTCTCTCTCTCACACACACACACAACGAGTAGAACTGGTCTAGGGTTTCTCACAGAGCTCTAAGGTGACAAGCGAGGCAGATATGAAGGCTTAAGGTCCTTTAATGTGACATCCATATTTTCACGGCCAGAAAAGACCGATTTTGTTTATGATTTATAAAAATCACAGTACCTCTTTTAATAAAAATGTTGTGGAATTTGTTCCTATTAAAACATGATAAATATGTTATCAAAGCATTTCCGAAGAAAATAATTTTTATTCATTTTAAAACATTTGGGATGCCATCGTCAACACAGAAACATAAGCATAAACAGAACTTACATTCATTATCACTAGTGATTTATATCTCCTTAATCTCTCAGTGTAATGTGACTTCATATCAACACCTGCGATATAAATAAACTGAGCGGGTCAGGTTGGGAAGCCTGGTGAGTACATACGGTTTTCAACCAACAATAATATAATTATTATTTTTAATCTTCAGACAATTAAACAACCCAATTACTCATCCCCATTATCTTCTCTACTCTTAAGGATCTACCCTAAGAATCAACTATTCTTCGTTCATTTATTCCTAAGGATCATCCTAATGAATTGGCACGAAATCCATCGTTACCAAGGTTTATAGGTTACAACTGGTGAACATGTAGTCCAAAATATCTGGTGAACACTTAATTCAAAAATAACTAGTGAACACACTTAGTTCAAAAATACCTAGTGAACACACTTAGTTCAAAATACCTAATGAGCACCTAGTTCAAA